CCAAAATTCCTGTCATTTTCAGCACAAAAATTGTGTGCCAGGAGTTTCATGGCATGGGTTTCCATGGTCGAGCAGCTGCATGCAAACCTTACATCACCAAGCACAATGCCAAGATTCGGATGGCGTAAGGCACACCACCACTGGCCCCAGCGGTGGAAATACATACTGTGGAGTGATGAATCACGCTTGTCTATCTGTCAGTCTGATGGATGAGTCTGGGTTTGGCGAATGCAAGGAAGACATTACCTGCCTGACTGCACTGTGCCAACTGTAAAGTTTGGTGGAGGAGAGATAATGATATGGGTTTGTTTTCAGGCCCCTTAGTTCCAATGAAGGGAAATCTTAATGCTTCAGCAGACCAAGACATTTTGGACAATTGTATCCTTCCAACTTTGTGGGAACAGTTTGGGCAAGGCCCTTTTCTGTTCCAGCATGACTGAGCCCCAGTGCACAAAGCAAGGTCCATAAAAGCATATCTGGTGAGTTTGGTGTGGAAGAACTTGACTGGCCCTCACAGAGCCCCGACCTCAACCCCATCAAACAGCTTTGGGATGAACTAGAACAGAGATTGCAAGCCAGGCCCTCTCGTCCATCATCAGCGTGTGAGCTCACAAATGCTCTTCTGGATGAATGGACGAAAATTCACACAGACATGCTCCAAAATCTTGTAGAAAGCTTCCCAGAAGAACGGAAGTTGCTATAGCTGCAAAGGTGGGACCAACTCCATATTAATACCTAGGGATTTAAAATGGGATGTCATAAAAGCTCCTGTAGGTGTAACGTGTAGGTGTCCCAATACTTTTGTCCACATAGTTTATATATTGTGGCTTATAAAAGAAATAACCCACTCAATACTGTCTGTTACAGTGGTTCTACAACAGGTAAAGGGGGATTCCACTGATCTTTTCGAAAGCCATTTAGAGTGGGTTTGATGTGAAATGGTGCATTGTAGAGAAGCTTCTTTACACTGGTGGTGACAAGAACCAGGGGTCACGATGTCTACAACACAAATATAGCCATTTTTTTTATCATACACTATAAGTAAGATGGTTCTTCAAGGGCTTTTCAGTAAAGACAGTGGTTTTATTCAGAACCATGAGTCTATATGGAACCATTTCCATTCACTTAAATGGTTTCTTTGCATGGTGAAATGGTTTCTCAGATTGATGGAGAAGGAGGGTTGTAAATGGTTTTATGTAGAAGCTTTTTGAAAATGGTTCTATAAAGCACCAAAAAGGTTTCTTCTACTGTTATGATGTCAAGCTTTTAACAATAGAAAAGCCCTTTTTGTGCTATATAGAACCATTTTCAAAATGGTGCTATGTAGAACCATATACAACACATTCTCCATCAATCTGAAGAACCATTTCACCATGCATAGAAATAGAACCATTCCCTTTACTAAAGAACCCTTGAAGAACCATCTTTTTAAAAAGTGCATCCAAAAACAACCAGTGAACCTACACATATCTTCTGAGTTTTATATGTAATGTTGATAATGTGGGAAATGTGGTAAATATGAAAGTTTTATTTGGCTACTAATTTGCAAAAGATTGCCTAGTCTTGCAAGGCCAGATGTGACCTCTTAACAAGAATGTCTGAGGACAACCATGAGAAATTTGTGACAAAATGTGGGTGGGAACATAGATTTATTACAGTGGGAACAAACTGCCTGTGACATTTCTAAACAAATCCAACACCTCTTGAAGGCGGAGCTCAAAGTAAGGGGTGCTCATTAACACTTTCAGACAAACAACAAGCTTGCCGTTAGCACAGGCATGGAATGAAAGTTAGCGTGCTTGAAAGTTTCCCCAAAAAACATTTTCATTAGCTTTCGATATCGTTTTGCTTGTGTTGCTCTGGAAACTAAAAACATGGACTAGAGAAATCTGTGGGTTGGTTTCAAAGGGCAACGTATCCTTGTTTACAGTGGCTTTTGTCATAATCCAGCAATAAAGGTTTAACAAGTTGTCCCTAGATTTGACCTCATAACACAAAGACCACAAAATGTCCTGCATGTAGGTCGACCTCTCTGCCATGAATATGTTTAAAAATATTACATTTCAACCCCCAAATATGTGGTATAACAATATATGAGGCATCAGGCAACATATTTGTAACCATTTCACGTAATAGCTTTCTGTCTGTTAGCTTTCAGACATTTAACTCTTCAGACGTCTGGTTCCCATCACCATCACTGTGAATAATTCTGGGTAAGTTTCTCTGGAATGCAACTTTTTACATCAAACTACTCTGATTGACTTTGTTTAAATCTCAACCATTTAATTGCGCAGAATTGAAAAATGAAAAATTCCCTTCTAAAATTCAAAAATTTAGAATATTAAAATTTCCTTCAAAGTGGTTTTGTTAGATATGAAATGCGTACAATCCTCTTATTGGCTTATTGTTTTCATAAAATGGAGATAAAACACAATATAGTGAAGTACACGAGTGTTCAATTAATGATTTATTTTGCTATTATTAACAATACAGTACACAGTTCCTGTAGTTTGTTAACAAAAAGCTACCAGTGCTACCAATAACAGTCAAACATCGTTCAATGAGAAGCACAATGGATTTAATAATGCAGCATTCAAACGGATGCATTCAGTGTCTATGAAGCTTCAAATGTGGCTTAATTTCAATTCCGTACATATTACTTTAATAGTAGTTAACAAATAGTTTATAGCAGTTTCAGAATTAAGTTTAATTACCGAACAATGAATCTGCACTTTAAAGTCATTTAAGTAATCCTGTATTATAGCTCCAGTCAACTCGTTTATCTAGTCCGACACGTTTGTCAAATGACTCACTGGAAGAAGAGGAACTCTGTCATATGAGTCATATTTGTCAAACAGTGCTGATCTAGAATCAGTCTTTGCCTTTCATGGCTTTTCTGATTTATGACCAGGCAGCAGATCCTAGATGAACCTAGATCAGTGTTCTAGTTTGGAGACTGTTTGCAACCAGTGATTCCTTGTACAAATTTCCATGATTGCATTTTCCTGCCCTTCCTGGGAACAATAAAGTTCTTAAAAGCATGAATATTTTGCTTTTTCCTGTTGGCACAGGTACTGACCTTGTTAATCTCTGGGGGTTTTCTTATCCAACTCCAAATACGAAGTAACCCTCAATAGAAAATGATCAGTGAAAGGCTGGTGGTCCTGGTTCAGACGTCTGGCGTCTGAAAAAGAACCAGAGGTTTATGCAGGTGTTTCTAAACCACAAACAAACACAACTAGCGCTGGTGAATTCAGCCACTCTCAGCTGGTTGTTGAGTTAAGCGGGATCCTCAGGTGCTGCTTACTCACTGTGTGTTTTCAGCAGGTTTCAATAGTGGGAAATCCTTCTCGTCTTATCAGATGGATGAGCAAACAATGAGCTCGGACTGCGCTGGGAGACTCATAAGGACCGGATATGGAGCAGCAGAGATGGGACTTTTCAGCAAACATTTCTTCTGCCAAAGAAGACCACATACAAAAGCAGAGAGCCCAATCAAGGCCTATAGCTTAAATCGAGTACTGAAAATGCAACACAGTAAGGCTCAATGGAAGGAAAAGAGCATCTGTTTGGTACGTTTTCATTATCTTGTGAAAACAGAACATTCTTACATTAACAAATTGGTAAATGTATCACATGAATGATTTGCATGCCAGCTCGGTCTGCTGTTCGCATTGAATCAGAGGATCTTCTGTGTGGTGATGCGTCACATCTCATAAACTTGGGTAGCATGGAATTGCCAAGTTTACCACTTGTGTTTAGGACTTTGTCAACCATTCAAGTGCAGCTTCATTGTTTTACATTCGCAAATGTATGAATTTATGAGTTTACGAGGACCATCTGATTGACGTTAATGTGTTATCAGACAACACACTGGCTAGTGATACTCCAGCTTGTTTTGAACATGGGAACATGGGATGGAGCTTTCAAATGAACTCATGAATTTCCGAGTTCACCTCAAGGACGTTGCACTCGGGCCAGCTAACAAAGACACATTTGTAAGAGGTAAAGTCGTTCACGTTCATGTTTATGAGTTGTGACGTGTCACCAGTCAGTACTTCTGAGTACTTCTACACTCTGAGTTTGTTACTTTATACCAAAGTAGAACAGCTTGGCAAAAAGTTCAGATTAAGAGACCCTTATTAGTCCAATAACGGGGAAATCTGACCCACCCATGCAGTGAAACACCACATACACGCTACTGAACACATACACTAAGGGGCAGTGAGCACACTTGCCAGGAGTGGTGGGCAGCCCTATCCACAGCACCTGAATGTGAACCGGTAGTTACTATTTGGTGCAACCTGGTAATGATTGCGAGTTGACGATGACTGTCACCAGATTTTACCATGAGTTTTGTTGGCTATTTTGAGCCCAACATTTTTAGCAAACTTGGAAAGTTTATGAGGACCATCTGAGTGCACCATTAGTGGCAAGTGTGATCAAAACATGAGCTGTCTCTGCTGTGCCTGTTAGGAACAGATGTCCAGTCTTGGTTTAGATCCAGCAGCCACTTGACTCAGGAAATATGGCTGTACAATACATGACCCACTGGGCATAAGGACGATCAAAATCCAGTGTTTTTACACAGACGGCCTTCTCTTCTGAACAGGGCCACTGCTGAAACAAATCTCCACGCATCCAACTGCTCAACACTGGGCCACAGATGGCCAGCAATATGCCACAAAACCACCCACAAAAATACACCAGAAACACTGAGGATAGAGTCCGAGACATTGTCCTGAACGAATGTGGTGACGGGGTACAGAACACGTACGGCGTATGGGTAAGCCTCAGGAAGAGTTTACAGAACCACAAAATGGGAAGAAAGTTTCATAAACACTGACAAAAATGGTTGGAGTTGCACTAAAACTTCATAAACAGAACACAAGAACTAATAGTGACAAGAAGAGGCTGTTTATAGGCTCAACATTTGGTTACATTTGCATTAGAAAAACTTTTTTTTTCCTGTTTTGCTTCACGACCAAGGACAAAAACGGTTACATTTCAGTTGTTTATTTACAGTGTATAGTAATAAGACATGACAGACACACAAGACAGGTTTTACACAATACAACTTTTCAAATGTTTTTTGTAAAATATAAATTGTAAAATAAATATACAATAATGAAATGCACAGAACGAACCTTCTCTTCAAGGGGCAAAAATACCTCTATTGTCATTAGTCCGAAAACAGACCTAGTGAGATAATCCATGCATGAGAATACGGTTTCATTATCAAGCTTCATGACCATATGTCCAAGTTACATAGGTGTACATGTGATAAGATGTAAAATATATACCAGCTGTACCAGATGTGTACTGAAGTATACTTGCTACAGGCAATTAAACTCTTAAGTAAGAACCATGACAAAGACGAAGAACTGGTAGAGTAACTTCTATGCGATGGATAAAGTGAGTATGAAAGAGTATGAAAACTTCCACAATGAAAAAAAAAGAGCCGCACTTAAAGTTTACAGCATAAGCCAGAACGTACCACATTGCCCTAAAAAAAACAAAACAAAAAAAGACGAATGACGGTATCATTTACAAATATTATCTACATAGAGCAAGTGAAGGTGTGAGGGGAGTGCCGTTATACCCACAAACCGGTGGCTGAACGTCAGTTTGTGGCGTACAGTGTGTTTGACAAAGCGGTCGTTAAAGGATAGCGGCTCTATTGGAGGAACCATCAGTGCTCTTATCACCAAAAATGACCTGCATTTAGGCTACACCGACCACACGCACAAGGACACATGCGCACACACAAGCACAGACAGCAGCTTCAGCCAGATGCCCCCTCTGAACAATGTCGCAGTATGGGAAGAGGGAGAGAGAGGGAAGTGTGGGAGAGAGAGAGAGCGAGGCTGGGACTCCCCAGATCAGCCGCCCTGGAGGTGACACTTCCGCCGGAGGAAGCAGCTGGACACAAAGAACAGAGAAGGAGAGAAAGAGAGAGAGAGCTGGGAAACTGGCTACTGACCAGGTGTCCTGACTACTGATGTAACGGTTGTCAGGACATAGTCTGAATCACTCAGTCTGTAGCTCATTATCTTAAGTGAATACTTCAGCGCTTGTCAACCTAATCTCGCTCTGCTGCATCTTTCTCATACACTCAGTTCCCACTGATAAGAATTTAGGCATTTCCCTGTAGTGAGAAAAACCTCTTAAAACAGAAGCTAATGGGCAGCTGCTTTATCACCTGCCCACAGGCCTCTATTACACGAGTCAACACATTCTTCTGTTCTTTTTCTAAGTACAGGGAAACAAAATTACAGCCTGTGTTAACTGCTTGTGTAACGAACAGGTGCAGCAGAAAATGTTGGTGTATTCCTTTAAGATTCCTTTGACCCTCAGTCTCTAATGTGAGTCTGCTCTTTGCCCATTGGAAGGTCAACAAGGAATGAGAATCCCATTAGCTACACCTTCGCCAAGAAATCCTCTCATTGGCTCTCTTTCAGAACAGCTACCCATACGTTGACACATCCACTGAGATGTCTCCCACTGGACGTCTCCAACGGAAAGCACGCACTCCATTGGCACCCGATTCTAAAGCAGCAGTAGCTTTCTATTGGCTCCTTCTTCAACAGCTCGATTCTCATTGGCAAAAGAGCAAAGTTCTACACTAAGGTTTAACTGTGAGGCACAATAGTTGGTGTTTTATGAAAAAAAAGTGTAAAAGGTCTGAACATTGATTGCTGAGAACTGTGAAAAAAAGTTCAACTTTGCTTTTGTCAAACGCCCAGGAACATCTCTAACTCTAAGCCTAACCCTAATGTCCTGACCTTAATAATTAATCTTGAGCGAAGATTCTCGAGACACTTGTTCATGATGACAAAAAAACTGAGACTGCTTTATGTACAAACAGATAGCATAAGATACAATACAATACCTTACAGCAACAAGCTTTAGCAAAAAAATAGAATTGTACAAATGTACAAAAACATATTATTCCAGCTCTTCATCACTCTCTCAACTGTCTGCTGTTGACAAAATGACTACTGCTACAAAAGCTACTTCGCTCCTCAACTAAGACTGAAGTTGACGCAGAGCTACCTAAATGTATCCGAAGGTGTATAAGATTCATATGCACAGTAGGGTTTTGACCATTCAGCCACCTCTACACACAGGTAAGTGGATGAGAACTTGATATGTTTCAAGTAGAATGTGAACTGATCTTTCAAACACAAGCCTACTTAGAACCCTATTTAGAGTCTGATGACTCCTCCAGTTTGCGACTACTACGTTGTCTTTGGGTGGCCCAAAGAACCGTGTCGAATTTGGTTTATAAAATACTTGACAAAATCCTTCAATAAAACAAACCAAGCATAATACTGAATTTAAAGCTGAAATGTTATTCAACATAGAGAATTCTTAAAGTAAACAAAGGGCAAAAGACCTTTAGCGTATCTTGCACTTCAGCACACTGAGATGCACCTCATACTGGTTGAATGAAAGTAATATTGAGAATAAGAAATAGAAGTTAATGGTAACAGACACCAGAAGTAGCAGACATAAAGTCCAGAGTAAAAAGAAAACATTGTCATTACATTATAACTACAGGAACAACAGAAGAATTAGCTAACAAACGAATGACTACTTGATAAATGAAGGAATTATGTGAGTGAAATGAGCCATTAATATTTGGTTTATGTAGCTATTGTGTCTTTGTAAAGCTATTAATAACAGCCACCGAAACTGTAGATAGGCTTAAGAGAGGAAAATAACATCTACTTCACCTTGCTATTTGAATATCGGCCAAGAACAATAACAAAACTGTACTGATAATAGTCAAATACATGTAGCTGACTAATACTGAGACAGTGTGCTAAAGCTGCCCACAGCCATTATACTGAACACAGCGCAAACATGTCTTTTTGAAAAGGTAAAGCAAAAGTCCAGTTTGAAGCTAAAAGAAAACATCTTGAAAATACATAGTGATGGTTGAGAACATACCTCAAAACCACGGATCATCTTTCAATGTGCCTCTCTGACCAAGTCCTAATAATCAAGAATAAAGTCATACAATCCATAACTTAAAATTCTGACTGCACAAAATTTTACACATGAAAATCTCTGTTACCCAGTACCTTTATGAAGTTAAGAACCGTACCATGAAAGACCAGGTTAAGTCCATGGAGCAGAAGTGAAGGTGCCACAGTGTTAGCTCTAGCAGAATATCAAAGAACATAGGAAAATGTAAAACTCTCTCTAAAACTCCAAGTCCCATGATCCTGCTGCGTCAAAGGAATGGGAAAAAGGTCGAAAGCTGTCCACCCCCTTTCTGGCGGGGGGCACTATGTACACTGGTTAGAGAAGAGAGTGTGAAGATGATGTGACTGCTTTCTGCCCTAAAAACTGAGTCAGGGTTTCAGTCGTTCCACTCGAGTCCTTGCATGCTCCCTGGGTCTGACTGAAGGCTGTGAAGTCTCAGTGGGTGACCAATACAGATCTGGACACATCAGCATGCACTGGAGGAGGGTTTCGGTGGGGTTCTTCAGACTCGTTGCTGCGTGGAAGCTGTCCCCTCTAGGTAGACATCGTCACTGGTCAGTAGAGGCTGGGTGGGAGCACTGTGGCTACTTCCAGCTGAGTTGACGAGCGGGTGTTGAGAGCTGATGTCCTCATGGGGCCCTGTCATTATGGGCAACCTGGAGCTGAAGTTCAGATAGATCTGGAAGAAGCATAAGGACAAAAGTCATTGGACCTGCGAATGAAGAATAATGGAACTATGAACATGTGCGGTCAGGGTGTATGTGTGTCTGTAAATGACATACATGTTTGGTGCTGTCTGAGATTTGCTGTTCAATCTTCTCCACTATCTTGCCAAAAGACGGCCTCTTGAAGGGTTCTGCATCCCAACACGATTGCATGATTTCATACCTGAATAAGATGTGGCACAAGACCTTGTAAACACACACGAAATATTCACCTTCTCAACTACATATTTCTAATATGAGATCAGATTTGTGTTTTATAAACCAGCATTATCTAATCCTGTCATGTCTTGCCACTGGAAAATATGTTCCATGTCCTGTAAATACAACTCCTCAGCAGAACAACAAGCCAAGCAAAGCACACAAACAGAAGCAAACAGACACAGAAACTTACATTTCACTTGGGGCAAACTCGGGCGAATCCATTCGGTAGCCTTCCTTGATCATTTTGTAGAATCTGGAGTCCACAGGCATACCTGGATAAGGACTGCTCCCTAAAAAGCCCCAGCATTTAAACAAGGTTAGGCTTTGTGCCAAGTCTATAAAAAGTCTTCTTGTCTCTTAAGGTATTTTGATTGCTCCCTTGAAAAAGTTTGATATACTTTTGCAGTGGATATTTAAGACATACCCAGAGAGAAAATCTCCCACAGTAAGATGCCGTAAGACCAGACGTCACTCTCGAACGTGTACACACACTCAAAGATGCTCTCGGGAGACATCCACTTCACTGGGAGACGGGCCTGCACAAGACAGATCCAAACCAGCCTCTTAACGCATTTTATGCATGAAAGTCTGAAAATGCTTTTAAAGGACTAACTGCCTTGTTAGAGGAATCTCCCTGCTTAAATACCACTGGTGGGTATTTGTAAAACAGGCATCTGCCTGCACCACATGGTTTTAATGAAGCCTGCCCAAACACGTAAGGAGAATAGTAGTCCAAAGTGTCTGCTGTAGCACTTGTGAAAAAGCATGCTCATACACAAATATATACACACAAGCAGAGATGCGCAGGCATGCGAGGATGCACACACTCATTATTTCTTGCAACACACATATATTACCCTACCAGTAACACACACACTTTAACCTACCAGAAGGGTGTATTAAACTAATTTGGTCATACAAGTATGTTTTGACTTGCTGAGAATGTCTAGCCAACGTTCCACATTCTTAAAGGGGAATGTTGTAGTATACAGCTTCATGCCACGCCAGTTACATCACCTTAAAGATTAATTATTCATTCCAGTCAAGCTCTTGCACAATCTGTATCTAAATTTACCATGGTGATATAGTAAATAAATAATTTTCAACATACATTTGAATGAGATATATATCTGAATAACGACTTTTCGTTTTTAATCTCTTTCGGAAATGACAAACACTTACATTGCCCTTTACCACATAGTTGGAGTCGGTAGTGATGTCACGGGCAAGTCCAAAGTCGCAGATCTTGGCCACTCTACCTTGGGTGAGGAGAATATTTCTGGCTGCCAGGTCTCTGTGGATACACTGACACACAAACATACAAAAAAACGAGAATGTCAACACAGACTGAACAGACATGTTATGAAGGCCATGAAACAATCTGTCAGGCAGAGACAAACTCATTAGCACAGAACTGCTAGGCAGACTCTTTACACGGTCATGCTAAAATACTCAGATGAATGCTGAATTTGATCTTAAACCATAGCCAAAGTAAGCAATGCCTCTTAAACATATAACACAACAATGCATTACAGTATTCCTTAAAGCTGTAATAAAACTATGCACGTTTTTCTTATTTATATGCAACCCCATAATTTGATCTCTCTGATACATCTTTTAACCTTTTAGAACTTCAAGATATATCATTAAACATTTCTGAATTCCAAATCTTTAGACAAGTTAAACTTAACAGAAACCATTTTTATCTTACAAAACTAGACATCAAAAAGAAGAATCTCCATCCAGATGATGGAACAGTATTAGCAGAAAAAAGACAGCTGTTAAAGAGTCAGATACCACTAACAGTAATGGAGGTCACTGTAGCACTAAAATACAAGCTGCTTGTCTAAACCACAACCAACCAAGCACTCCAATGCTAACCCAAAAACCATTTAACAAATGACAGGCAAGCAAGAAGAGCTCTTGTGCAGCAAAAACAAAGATGATCAGATGATGATCAGATGATCCTGAAAAACGTATTGCACTGCAGGACATACAAGGGACATAAAATCTCTAATACAAAGAACAGGCTGTTTTCAAAAGTACATGCTGTTTTCAGCAGTAAAAGTTTAAAAACCTTAAAAACCTGAGCTCATTAAAGATTTCATGTCAAATATTTCATGTACTTTTAGCAGACAGTTTTAAAGCAGTTTATACAGTCATTAAGAGAGTTTCAGGTTCTAAACCAAGCGTTGCATAAATCATTCAGAAGGCTGAGGGGATATTCAAGGCCAAATGTGTGGCTTTGAGAAATAACAACCGAGTTGTTTTTAACCTGCAACTGCCGTTTGAGAAACTGTACATAACGGCAACTGACAAGAAGTGTTTCATAGGCTACCTGATGATGGAGTTGAGAAGTGCGATACAGGACTCTGCAAATGTCTTTTGACATACTTGTAAGTGTGCTTGTGAACATGTGTGTTTGTGTGTGACCTGCAAGCTCTGTAAACTAAACCATGACTGGAAAGTCAGAAGGGAAAATATGATCCCAGAGCTTTGTGCACAATGACTAAGAGGAGTCAGGGTATCATATTGCTATCACAGGAGAGGGGGTGATAGAGGAGAGAAGGAAATGACAGAAGAGAAGAAAAGAGAAGAGAAGAGAAGAGAAGAGAAGAGAAGAGAAGAGAAGAGAAGAGGTGTCCTACGTTTTTGGATGCCAGGAAGTCCATCCCTTTGGCGACTTGATAGGAGAAGCTTAGGAGGTCTTCAGTGTCCAGAGCCAAACCATCTTCCTGCAGGACCTCACTGACCACATCACAGTCACTGTATGAGCCTAACATAGAAAAGGAGACAGAGAGAGAGAGCAGAAAGATATGAGATTCTACACCACAGAAATGTTTTCTCAATAAACAAAGAGAAGAGAACAGATGAGAAGAGACAAGAAGAGATGAAAAGAAAAGAAAGGAGAGGAGAAGTGACAAGAGGAGAAAAGACGAGAAGAGAAGACAAGAGAAGAGAAGAGAGGAAAAGAGAAGACAAGAGAACATCAGGAGGAGTTTACTACATCATACCACACCTTTATGGGTTGAACGCTGTTTCTCAGCAGACAGAACTCCCATAACTGAAGGTCTCATGGTCATATAACCATTTCTACCTTCACTGCAAGCAAAACAAAAAGCTTCAGCATGACTCACTCATCATCCTTCTACAAACTCAAAATATTTGCACATATGTCTCACACTGACTCTGGCTGTAGCATGATGTTTCTATAGTAACAGTCCTCTCCCAGTCCGGAGCAGTAGAAGGACTCGCGCTTTCTGCGCAGGAAGTTCAGCAGGTCACCAAAGCAACAGTATTCAGTTATCACCAGAGTTGGACCTGAGGAACAGTCCAGAGTCAAGTCAGCATCATTTACACATAGACATGCATACGTATCACGTCATGCACATTAAGCAGAACAAGGAACCCCAGTCAAGTAGTGACATCTGTGTTTATTTTTATCTCCTCCCCTTTTGTGAACCTTCCACCTCTCTTTATGCACCACCCCATATTCTCACTCACCTCCAACAGTGCAGGCCCCCAGTAAGTTGACAATGTTTATGTGGTTGCCAAGGTAACTGAGCACCTTCAGTTCTGACATCAGAGCCTCTTTCTCAGTGGCATGGGCACTCGCTGCAGTGAAGAATGACAGTAAACAGACAAACATAAAATTAAATGTATTTTTGAAAAATACAGAAACATGCATACATTTATATCTGCATCATTATACGTAGAGCAGTTATAAAACAGTTGAATCTTTACACATTAGTCTTTCAATTTATTCATGGACGCAGCTAATGTAAGTGACCAGCAATAAACTTAAGTGTATCTGAATATGAAAGATGCACAACAATGTGTTATTGATCTATAACACTGCTATTCTACCCTTTTTCTATTCTATTTTACTGTTATTACTATTCTTCCTAAATCTATCACTAACAGAGTTTGTTACTGATGTCTCTCCAACATTTGCAGCAATAATGTAACCTGATTATTGTGCTCTTGAAAGCAGGAGAATGCACTAAAGCTTGCTATTAACAGGCTAAAGACAGCTTTGTTAGGGCCTATGTGGATCAGCAATAGCATTTCCCAATAATACTCTACAGCATATCCTCTAATATTTAGATCTGCTGACAAATTATTTGGCATGTTCTGCGTTCATCATAAAAAAATAACTAAAAACTAGACCCAAAATGCACTAAACATCTACATTTGTTTTACATCTATATTTACATTTTCTCTTTAACTATCTTCTTTATTCTCCACACTCACGTTTCAGCATTTTGACAGCCACGGTCATCACTGTGTCTGCCTTGGACATTCCGTAGGCTGTGGCCTCCACCACCTTTCCAAATGCTCCCGAGCCCAGAGTTTTCCCTATGGACACAGAACAGGAACAAAATTCTGAGTGACTTTTCTTACTTGCACACTTGTTCTAACAGAGGCTTCCTTTCATCACAGATCAGTGCATATTGACCTGAAAACAGATATACTGTGTTATTTTGGCTATGGTGTGCTGTTGATGTCTTGTTGGCATATTTTGCACGGCCTTGGCAAAAATTCAAAAGCTATCAGCGAAGTATGGATAAATGGTATGTTGAGAAATCCTCGGTGGTGCGGTTAAAGTAGCAGTATGTGTCTACTCTCTGTGTCTGTTGCCTATAGCGGACTACTTAATTTGCCTCTCAAATTGGAGCTGTGTTCCTAAGTGTAGCTGTAACTGTCCCAACTAATTCTAACAGGCATAGGCAGACATTGTGCTCTTTGTATGCCTGGGAGTTAACAATCACATAAATAAAGAAAACAATACTGTACAGTACACAAATATGACAGGTTCACAAACAGTCTTTTTGGTGCTAGTAAAAAAACACAAGGAAGTGGAGTGGACAACCACATAACGTAGTATTGACCACTGATACCAGCTATAGTGACGGTAAACAGAAACCCAATGTACCGAATCGCAGCTTGTCTCTGGGAAACTCCCACTGGTGGTCATATGGAAGCTGGGTAGGATCAATATACACATAATTGTTGCCATGGATTCCCTCAATGACTTTCCACTGAATCTGGTACTTAGGTTTCTGAAGGAAAAAAGAGGGTTGCATTTTGGGGAGGGCAGAGAGAGAGAGATAAATTAGAGACAAAATGAAGAAAATTTAGAGAAACAGTTCATAGCCTGGACAGTTATGACAACACTGAAAAAAACATGGGACTTCTGCTTTTTGCCATAGTACAACTGATTAGCAGTTCTAATCTCACACTGAGATAGGAGCCATTAACAAATGACTTATTTTGTTGGTAAAATAAGTTCTCCTTAAATAGAAATAGACTCAAAAAGTCTGCTCTGAGGGCTGCTCTATAGTGTCTGGTGTTTGTGTGTGAGTGTGTTTACGCAGTAGCAGTGTTTGCATACGAAAAGCAACGTATGTAGCAGCTACACCCACTGAGTACAAGAGCAAAGCAGTACAGCCTTAGGTCTATTGACCCGGTAAATAAAGTGTGTGTGTGTACACTGCTCCTGTGCGTAGTGGGAGGGCAGTCACCTATAACAAATACAGTACAGCTGAAGTCTGATAAGGAGTATAGGTCACAGAAATACATTTAAATATCTTCAAGAGTTGCTTTATGGCACCTTTAACAGAACCACAGTTAGATCTGACTTAATTTATATGACTGACATTCATATACAGTGTTAATATAACCACATATTTTTTATAAAGCCAGTACTTTTTGCAAAATGTAATGCATTACCTGCAAGTACTTGTAGGTGAGAACGAACAGGATGAGGCAGAGGATTGCTGCTGCTGCAACAAAACCAATGAGCAAAGGAGTGAAGAGTTCTTGATGAACAGAGCGCTCTGGAAAAAACATACCCAACATACATATTAGAATCCCAGACAGAAGACACATTTCCAAAGTCTCATCCATATGTCTGATGTATTAAGACAGAGGAATTTTTAGAACACTTTTACATAAATATTCCCATATTTAAAATATATGTCATATATATATATATCTCCATAGAAAAGCATCACCAGTTATATGGAGCACTCTGGTGCAGCCACACATAAGTCTTTGAGATGAGTTGGAGTGGCATTTGTGATCATAAGGTGACCTCACTACTGCTCTTGTGGCTGAATGCAATCAAATCCTCACAGCAATTAAAAGGAAAGCCTTTCCAGAGGAGCAGCGAACTTCAGCAAGAAGGGGCAAACCCCATATTAATATCCTTGATTTCAGAAGAAACACTAAATGAGCCTGCAGTGACAAACATTTAGACATGTAGCGTAAACTGTAAATATATTTAGAGATATTTAAGTTGTAGCGCTCATCTAAAAACATACTGGCTGGTCATGTTTTTGTATTTGAAAGAAAATAAAGTGGTTATTTATGAAACAAAGAAGATTTTCTATATTATTCATATATATGTATAGTAAGTGGTCACATGCAAAAGAGTTAAATGCATTAAAGTGTCCACATTCAAATAAAAACAGCACGTGATTTGGATCATGTGTTAGATACGGTAAGCATACTATACAGATTACACATAAACTCCTGCCTGTGGTGGCTTTGCGTGACAATGGCCTGTTGACTTTTTACACGTTTCCTAATAGTGGCGCTATTTCTAGGCGCTGTGCTCTGTGTGTGTGTGTGTGTTATTGTTTTTCTGCTTTGTACTCTGAGGTGTAATAAGCTCTTTAGCCATAAGGAGCTTTCTCTCCATTTCAAATCAGAGAATGCAGACTCGGCAGGAAGTAATCCCCTGTAAACCTGTCACTGGCTTTTTACCACCCTCCTCTGCATCCCTCCCCCCTCCTCTCTCTCTCTCTTTCTCTCTCTCTTTCTCTCCCTCTATTGTCCCACTGTGTCCAAAACAGGGATCTCTACAGATCATCCCCCCTCTCCTAACACATGCAATCATCCACACACACGCCGTGAGCTGCTCCACTGCATAGGCCAGCTAGAGCCTCACAGCACCAATCATTCTCCTGGCATGGCAACTTCAACCACTGGAGTTTAAATGAGTTAGTCTTGCCTCACTTAACATGCTTTTCTGCTAGCAAAAGGCACTCAGACAGCCCCCTCTACACCAATCCCCCAATCCTCCATGTCCCAGAAGCTCTCCATATCAAAAGAGCTCCAGGTCGCCAGGTAGTCCATCATCTCAGAAAAGTTTGTTTTCTTGACATTTGGCTAACAAAAACGTCAAATGCTGCAAGAAAATCTAGCTAAACAAGCTGACAGTGAACTTTGTTTCTCCCTGCAGTATATGCACACAACAACAGTGCTTGGTGAACCTTTAAGTTCACTCCTGCCACAAAAAAGCTGGAGGATAATCCCTTACAGTTAGCTAGTGATGCTGAGTTTACAAAAAACACAAGATTACAGATAATGCACCCCTGTATCTCTATTTATATAACACACTGATTTAATCCAATGGTTCTGCCCTGCTAATCCTGTAAAGGTCCACTGCAAGCAGAGCAAATGTTTTGCCAACAGAGGTATGGGGGGGTGGAGTGGTGCCCTACAACAGCCAGATGATTTAGATTATCTGTAGCAACCCTGGAAATACATGGCAGAAAAAACAGGTAAGGGAAGAGAGCAGGAGATCTGGGACATTTCTTCTGCTGAGATGCTCAACAATTATTGGGAAACCAAGAGCAGATGGGGCCAAGAACTCTTTGGCAGCCATGGCCAGGCCAGATCAGGCACGCAGATAGACAGACAGAGTGGGATAGAGAAAGCTGAGAAAAATCCAATGAAGTGTGACTCCAGAAGTAAAAGACAAAACAAACAAATCCTACATGGAAAAATAACACACTCTGAGATGAAGAACTAACAGGGATTGCAGTTCTGTAGACAGTTTGTAACATAGCCAGCTGCCTCACATGGGAATCTAAAAAGTGGCTAAAACAGCTTCTGTCAATACTGGACAAAGAGACTACAAAAGCATTAAGCCTCAAGGAAAATCTTAAAAAAAGCCACAGATTTTTTTTTCAATTAGCATGATATCAGGTGCATAACGGTCACTGACTCCTGCTAGCTCTTAGTTAATGCAACAGTGACAGGGGTAGTATTCTTTTACCAGTTAAATGCATGAAGTTCTTTGTCAAACGCGCTCTAGAGTGAGCATGCATTCAAATAAATCTTTAAACAAAGAAACCTGAGATTGTCAAACAGCATTACCAACCGGTTTCCTGGATACAGTCTGGGTCTTGTCACCCTTAGTGGGGATCATCTAAAATCTGTATTCCAACAGATTTTACGTCCAGAACTAGGGGTAAAACCAGGTGTGTATTTTGAGTGTGCGTTAATTAGTGCGTGTACTCACCACTGATGGAGAACAATGTGTAGACGATTTCGCCGTCAGCTGAAGCCACGCACTCCAGGGTGGGGTAATTGCTCTTGGTGATGTTTAGCCGACTCTCCACTGCTCCCTTCCCAAAGGGCGGGTTGTTCATGGTTACTGTGACGACATCCTCCTCCTCTTGGGTGGCGTTCAACAAATTGGAACACCTGAGGTTTCACATGACAAATCCCCATTCAGTGACTTGCTCAGTGATACTCCTGTTTTTTTACACAACATTATTCGGATTTGGCAGTTAAGATTTCCAAAACGTTAAATGGTAACTGAGCATGTTAAGTTAACTTTAGCTTGCTAACATTAGCTAAATGCTAATGCAAGTCAAATTCAGTAATGTGAGATTAAGTGCAGTAATTTGTTGTTTCTGTTTAGTGCAAAATATTAATGATTGATCTGAGGTGATACTGAAATACATAATGAAAGTCCATGCTTTTAGATCCATGCTTTTAGATCAAACTTTCTTCCCTCTGGGCCACAATACAACATTTTGCCTTGTTAAACATGACGTATCAGCCAATTACACTGATAAAGATACTGATAAAGAAAAGGAATTTGTGTTCAATACATATTTTCACATGCTAAATTCAAATATGTAATCATTCTTGATCTATTACTCACAGTTTTGTATGAGGTTTTACCTTTTTAAATATAAAATGTTAAGTAGCAAATCAATATACGTAATCCACCCAAATTTGGACAGATGAAGAATTTCATCAAGGTGATTGACCCAAATGGTGCTGGATTTATATCCAGTGTATCTGAAGAACACATTTTCTCAGATAAATGATGTCAAGATCAAAGAAGGGATTTTTGTAGATCCTCAAATGAGAGAGGTGACACAAAATGTGGAGGTGGAAAATTAATTGAATCTTTCAGCTGCATGGCTGTCATTCAAGAACATTACAAAGATTTTTAGGGACCCGTAATGCAGAAAAAAGCAACAAAATATTGAGTGACCTATTGACATCACACATAAACATCACCATCATCAACAGAGAGATCTTTCAAAAGCAAAATACAACAGAAGATCTTGTTTTTTTTGACATTTTTACATAAAACCAGATACAGATTTGAAAAAGCTATTAGAATTACCCTTTAGTTCATGTGACAAAATATTAATTTTTGTCACCCAGTGTTATTAAAGTCTACCTGAGTTGAATTCAGAGTTTTAAAAGAGGGAAAACACAAACCGGGTGCCCAGAAAAAACCCAGGCTGGACATCCTTGCCTTAACCTTAGATTAGGGGTGCACAACTCCAGTCCTGGGGGGCCAGTGTCCAGCACAGTTTGGTTATTTACTTTCTTCAACACACATGATTACACTCATTGGTTAATTGCTGGGTTGGCTGGGTTTATTTGAGTAGGGGAACTGCTAAACTGTGCTGGACGCCGGCCCTCCAGGACCAGAGATGTGTACCCCTGCCTTGATACTATCATATACAACAACACAGCATGGCAGTCTTAGGGCACAGATCACAGATTTTTTATAGAATCAAAGAATATCCAACTCCTACATACATACCAAGGAACTGCATCACAAAAAACAGGTACGATGTAAATGGAAGATGTTTATGGAAAAAGCTAGATATGTGATAAGGGTCTTGCGCTGCTGTCGTCTGTTGCAGCACAGTCAACAAGCTCATTTTCAATATGGCGCTCTAAATCTAACAATCCTACTCCATCTTTGGTTTAATGAGTTACAAAACTCCACAAAACACTGTTCCATAAACATGACTGCACTTCCGCTCATGATAAAATAGTCAATTCAAAATTCACATTTATGCATCATACAGATTTCAGTCACACAGTAATGATAATAAAGCTTAAAGCGAAGAATTTTCTCATTATAGTCTCATAAGCAACAGAACTATGTTGACTTCATCTGTATAAATGATCAGATTGTCAGTCTGGTGCCAAACACTAGTGTTTTTTGAACCAGCAGGTTCAAAAAAGTATCGGGTTCAAAAAGAGGTATTCGGAAGGCTAGAAGAACGTTTGTGTTTTGAAAAACCAAAATGGTCAGGAAGCTGCATAACAGCCTGAGGCACAACATTCCACACTTGTGGCATACCAAACGACAATGAGCTTTAACGTCAGTCAAGCAACAGCATGTGTCAGTCTCAGCACAGAGGTTTCTGCCAGGCTTTTCTTCTTAAACTGTGCATGAATCTTTATTTGATAAGGAAACGCTTTCTGGCATGCATCTATTTAAAAGTATAAAAGCATGAAAATATGAATCATGCCTAAATCACTCAATGGGATCCAAAAAGATCCAGAGCAGAGATGTGGATGAGTAGGTTATCCTGGATGCACATAATCATGCTTAAGAAGTGATTGGACAATAGTCGATGACTCACTATCTGCTAAGATATGCATAGGTGTTTCCACGGGCACCAGGTGTTCACTCTGTATTGTGTCATCCAAGAATAACCACCCCTTTAAGAACCCACTGTTCCCATGTCATCACATGGCTGTTAGTAACCAATCATAAGTTCACTGCTCCAATCACGATAGAGTCAAATTACTTCATTCCACCAATGGCAGAGTTAATCCGCTCTGCCCAATCGTCAAACATCATGTTAGCCGATTAACTAATCTGAGCAACGTCATGATGTGGCCTCACCACGGCTATATAAAGAACATGTAAAATGTCACTGCTAGTGGACTTACGTTAGGAAGAATATAACTTGACAAAAAGAAATCAAAATATCAAAAAAAGTTACAGCTAACACAGTCAAACTCCACTTTAACTGAAATCAGCATCCACCAAATTCAAAAAAGGATAATAATATTTATGGTGTTTACACTGATGGAAAAAAAACTTTGGGACATCTACAAAATATTTAAACCTGACCTGAGGAAGGGAAACAAAACAAACTGTCTGAAAACACTGTGGAGATTTTTAGATTGTGATCTGGATTTTTAAGATCTAGATTATTCCCATGTTTTGACTTCCATCTTATTTTTTCAAGCTTGAGGATTTTCTACAGAGGAGAAGAGCTGATTATAGTGTTCCAAAGGCTAGAACTGCTGTTGACTCTGGTTTTGGTGCCTACCTGGCATACGGTTGGTCACAGTAATACCATGTGATCTGAGGCGTGGGATAACCCTCGGCCACACACCGCACTTGTCCATCAACCGGTCCTTCATGAGACACAATTGCTGGCTTACCTAGCAATCAAAACCATGTACAATTGTCAGCTGTTTATATCTAGTAAAACCAAGATTTTAAGGTTAACAACTAGTCAAGTCAAGTCAAATTTATTTATATAGCCCCTTTTACAACAGATGTTGTCACAAAGCAGCTTTACAAAGCTTTAACTATTTGGTAGCTTCTGAATTTCCACACGAGTCATAGTCATAGTAACAGTATCAAGTGCCAGATACTTTTATAATACTGACTTTGCCTAATACTCCTCATAATAGTGAATGGTTTGGCAAAAAATCACATGTTTGCCTAAATATTATTCTCTCTCACCTGTCATTGTTTGCTCAGTACTGCATTGTACAATAATGAACAGGCTTACGGTTTGAAAATGACTAAGAACTAATGGGGTTCTTTTAGACAATGCAATGGCAAATAAAGCAACACAATGCTGAGAAATCATTTGACTAACTGAAGCAGAACAAATATGCCCACTGCTTTCTTTCACACAATGGAAAAGTCAAATATTTATTCCTTAGAATAAGTAAACAACTTACTTATGACATGAACTTCAAACATTTGGTGGACTGTTGCGTCGCCATTTGCGGACATAAAGGTGTAGACTCCGCTCTCTGATACTTTTAAACGCACCAGCTTCAATTCACAGCTATAACTGATTAGAAAAAAAACAAAAAAAAAACAGTACAATCACTGTATTCATATTTAAACACTGGTGAATAAAACAAGACAAATACAGCACAATGATGAAATTTAATGAATCAGCATTACTTCACTCTTCTGAACCCAGCATTATTAGCATCAGCTGTTATTGTTCAGGTTTGCTATTGATTCACTAACCCAGACTCAATATGGATAATGTGCATGCGTGTGTGTACCTGTGGTGTGCGTGTGAGTGTGTGGTGATGACGTGGTCAGTTGTGTTGGTAAGACGTTGTCTGTTGTAGCTCCAGGAGAAGGTGTGTGGTTTGGGGTAGGCCTCCATGCCCACACGCAGTGATAGACTCTCTCCTTCTCGCACCCTCCATGTCCCATTTACAACACGGGTCAGGTTAATGAATCCTTTACCTAACACACAAACACACAATTTGAAATGTTTTGTTTTCTAGTGCTGTGTCTCCCAGTTGTGGTCCTGCAGTATTGTGCAGTTTGGTATTCCCAGCTCTTAATTATTTTAATTCACATTTTTTTCTGGCCATAGCAAAAGCATTGTTCAATTCCATGTCAGTTATTTATCAGTCATAGTTTTAAGCATTTCTCGACATCAAAGTAAATGGCAAAAAGTCAAAACCTGTTCGTAGAGGCACTTATAGAAAAGTTACCAGAATTTCACATGTGGTTTTCGCACATTTCTCACGTAAAAATGTGTTACAACACATGAAAAAAATGTGTGATCACATGTGTTTCCTTGCTTGTAACATCTTATCACTTATTATTCAGTAACTACATGTTCTGTGATGCAGACTGGCAAACTAAGTCATTCTTAAGTGGCAGAAGTATGTAATAGAAGTTTCGACCTGCCGGTCTTGGCCATTTAAGGGTTAAATGTGTAATTACATTTGAATAGTGCAGTGAAATGAAAGTAATAATTCTCAACTTTGAAGGGATAAGAAAAAATTGCAGATAGAAATCCTCACACGCATAGTTCCAATATGAACGTAGATTTCCTGAAAGCTCTGAATGCCAGTGACTTGAGATTAGTGCATACACATATTCAGTGAAGTGTAATCTTAAACTCCAGCACTTGCATGAAATTTTAGCAGATGATTAATTGCCATGTTATTGGTCATTTTGCTTCCCAGCTATGTTTACTAGGTAGCTAACACTGGTTGTACTGTCAAACCGGCACACTACCCTGTGCATACACATGCTAACACAAACATCTCCATTACACAGAATCATGTGTAGAGTACGAACAAAGCTTTTTTTCTTAAGAGTGAAAATATAAGCAAATAAACCCGTGTCCTGCTAGCATGCATGATAAACACATTGGAATTAGGTACATTGCTATGACATTAACAAACATTACTTGCACTGCCCTCTAAACATGCTACAGCGCCAAGTTAGAGGTTTTTTTTGAGTTCCATGATGTCTCAATGAATGCATTTACTGCTTCCTTTAGTTTACATTCATTTTCCCAAAGAACCCAATTCATAATATGTTTGTTGCAGCTTAATATTATAGTAGAATCTGACTGCAGAAAACAACTCCAGTGAGATCCAATAATTGTGATCATTTCAAATAATTGTGATCATGTTGTGAGCATGTTATGTGTATATGCTCTAAGGTAGGCAGTCTTACTGAAGACATTGACCCAGACTGTCTCGTTGCTGATCCCCCTGTAGTTTTGAGCTTCACAGCGGTAGCTTCCAGAGTCATGCAATGTCACAGCCCCTATTTGAAGGGTGGCTGTGCGTTCATGTGAGATGGGCTCCGTCAAAAGACGAGACGTTTGCTGCATCAACGGAACCTGGGCAGATACAAAGGCGAAATGCATGTGTCAAAATAGGGCTGGATGATTTGAGGAAAACAGCTAATTCAGATTTTTCAATGTGATTGTTAATGCAATTTAATTGTGATTATTTTCTGTAAATTAAGGTCCTGTCCTTTTTTGTAGTGTGTCAAGGCTGCTGGTTCTCAAGCTCTGCATTGGTAGGTGAAGTTTCTCCACTTAAAACTCCACTAATTTAAACTGCAGTATGAAAACAACGAATCTTTCAGCCCTACGTCAGAGTCAAAATGTGTGTATGTGTGTCCCAGTCTGGCTGCATTGTACAGCTGCCAACATAGGAAAATGCTGGTACTCTATCATGGTCTCTACATCAATGTGGACTTTATAAACAAGCAAATAGAGTGAGTCATACAGAGATATGATTCTGTACTTGCAGATATAAGTGTGTAAATTTCAATAACTAGTACATGAAGTACAAAAGTACATGAGCTATGTTCACTATATATCAGTGGATGCGCTATAATTGACTGTGTTGTAGCAGCTTAAGTCACAATGTATTGCAGAACACAAAGATTTACATGCCTCGGATGAGATCCTGGTCAAATTACTCTATATTTACATACCCAGCCCACAAGAATGTTGAATTATGTTCAAGCTCTTTTAACCACACACTGCTACAAAGAAAAAGTAAATAAAAACCTGTAACTAAGCTCTTTCAAGTCATAATTAAGTATATATTACATTGAGTACAAATGGGTCATTTCATTAAAGATAGGGGTGTGTAAGAGTTTGGACGTTACAGGCGTACAAAGGAGAAAATAAACGGTTCTTACCACTCCGGTTGGCGGGATCCAGCTGATCTTGATGTCACTATTGACGTTGGAGGTGGAGCAGGTGAGGCTGAGTTTCTGGCCCTGGGTCAGAAGCACTCTGCTGGGCTCATGGAGTGTAATATGTGGGGGTGCGTCTGGAACTGACAAGACGAAACAGAGCATTACCATCAAGGCAGAGAAAGGACTGCATAACTACCAGCAGGTCATAATGCCCATAAATATTAATAAATCATGAACTAAGAGCAGGGGTGACCAGTTCCAGTTCTGCAGAGTCAGAGTGCAAACCATTTTGGTGATTTCTCTACTCGAACTGCTCAGAAAGCTTTGCAGAAAGTTGGCAAAAGGCCTATTAAGCCTAAAGGAAGCATGACACAGTTTTAAGTCATTTCAGGTTTTAAAATGATGTTTTGTTGTAGCTAATAAAAACTAGCCAGTTTGACAATAGCACAGAAAATGTACATGAAAACTACCACCATACTAATGTTAGCTTGATTACACAATAAAAAAATACATATAGACATAGGGTATAGATCTATACTAACAGTATGGCTTGCCATAAAAATTATATATGATTGAAGTACTAATCCATTCCAAATGTAGGTATTTTGACAGGCACTGAATTGTGTTTGTAATTCTCATTAGGTTGAACGTTCTGAACAGCGTGTCCAACTTCGGCAGACTTTGTATGAAAGAGGGCACTTGTGGCCAGAACATGCACAGGTCAATTAACTGATTAATTGAAACAGGTGTGTCTGAGCAGGAAAGATCACCAAACTGTGCTCCATTAAGGCCTTCAGGAACAGAACTGCTGACTCCTGTTATAGACAATCTGCTATGTAGAAGAGAGTAAAACTATTGCAAGACTATTAAAGAGGCAAAACTTCTTCACACTCACCCAATCGCACATTAAGTTGATATCTCACAGATCTGACTGCCTCTCCTTTTAGGGATCCTAGGCATACATAGCATCCTTCGTAGGCAGGCTGGACGTCCCTCAGGGTGATGCCCGTCTCAGTGCTGGCAGTGTACCTCATCCCAGCAGGCAGGGGCTTCCCATCACAAGTTTCCAATTTCAAGTCAATCATGCTGGGGTCTGTAGCCAGGCACGGGATGGAAGCGGTGTCACCTGCCCCCGCCATAATGTCTGGTATAATGGACTTCCTGAAGGGGTTGTCAGGATCTGCTGAGAGGAAGGCTAAATCAAAAACCAATGAAACACAACCAGGGGGCTTAGATTAAGAAATGACAGTGCATGAGAAAGAGAGAGAAAAAAGGAAAGGCAAAGAGAGAGACAGATAGAAAGAGAATGTGGACGGAGCACAGGAACACAGGATAGACCAAAAGAGTGAGAGCAGATACCCTCAAACACAATACACAGCATACAGCAGCCTACATGTGATGGCACATACACCTTCCTTTATACACTCCACAATGTGTAAACTATATACCAGCTATTATATTTTCTACTATATGCTCAGCAGAGTCTACTTATGATGTCTACTCAAGGGCCTATTAGGTTGGACCCCTACGTGGAACTACGGCTAACCCTGAGAGAACAATGGGCAAAAAAGGGTCTGTTGAATTCTTTACAGAAATACTGTAGCAAAGTCCAAACTGCAGCACTTTGCTAAAAGATCTGTATGCAGTTCAACAGTGTAGCTCATTTCAGCACTATTTCATGTGATTAAATAAATTTTACTCCATAAGTGGGAGTAGATGTGTGTGTGTGTGAGCTCCAGGTGTGTTTCAGCTCACTGGACTAGGCAGCTGGTCAATGCCTTCAGAGTTTATACATGTTGAGACTCATACTACCTAATGGTGCATACATATAAATAACACACACAGACATACAGACACGCACTCACACATATGGACACATAAGCACTATTCAGAAGGGATTAGTTTCACATGGTGAGATTGGGTAATATAATTATTACTGGTGTTTCTCAGTGATTTTAGTCCCATCTGAATCAGTCAGTATTTTTATAGACTGGTTACTCCCACATCAATAAATACTCTGCTGGATTTTACCTTCTATAAGACAAAAAGCAAAAATCACCCCAATTTACATTAATGTACATTTCCATTTTGGTATATACTCCATCATGTCTTGTTGATAAGACGTTTTCACAGTTTTTCTTAAATATAGATTTGGGGATTTTTTTTCTGACCAATATTGTGACTGCAATTTAAACTGTGATTTTTAAAATAATTTTATAACAGTTCCAGGCCTGTTATTTTGGCCAAGAACACCAGAAAATCAACATTTTTCTGGTTTGAGGTTTGAAAACTGCAATTTACTGCCAATTATTTGTGGTTTTGTTTCACAGCAGACGGGTGTTGCTTCTGATTAGTCTAACTCATCTACAGGCAGCTCATAAGCTCCATGTTATTATGCCTTCTTTTATGCATAGATGGCGATTGCTGGCTGTAAATTTCCAAGCTAATGACAATACTAATGACACACTGCATTTATCCAAGACAAATAGGTCGATTAGTGGTTCCCAACCTACTCTTCAGGGCCCCCCATGGTCCCCATTTTTACTTCATCCCTTCCATCTGTTATTCATACTGAGTTCCTTTCAGACATTGTCTGGTAAAATAACTACCTCCCATTGTAAACGTCATCCAGTCCAAATAGCACTACACACAGGCACAACTTCGGACATAGACTCATAGGCATTAGATGGCATGACTTACTACGCACATTTGAGAATTTCTAATATTTTGCTACAAATATTTTGCTTTCTCTCTCTCTCTCTCTCTCTCTCTCTCTCTCTCTCTCTCACAGACACACACACAAAAATTCAGCCCTCATACACTTCTGAGCTCTACTTACCTTGAACAAACACATAGATGGAGCTCTTCTCTCCTGAATGCTCCTCCTGGCACACATATCTGCCCATGTTGATTAACCTTGCTCTGGTCACATGGATGACTGACATGTTGCCCTCCCTATGCTCCTCTTTCAGAGTCCGTCCTGGACGATCCTCTCGTTGCCACCGCACTGGCCCGTCGCTCTGGCAGCTCAGGTCAAATCTGCCGTTCAACGGCACAGCGAGCTCGGGCCCGTCCGGGAAGATCGTGAGACTGGTACTGCCTGAATGAAAATAATGACAAATTGGACCACCAATCAAGAACCATCGCTAGAAGTTCTGTTTCTGACTATTCCTGTAGAAACAACCTAAACAGTACAAAACAGATCCAGAGTGATTTAAGACAACTTCTGCAAATCACCATGTCAAACCCACGATGATATCCTCTGTGAAATGTTATTAAAGGTTGAAAAGGTGAATTAACTTTTGCAGTACCGGCCCAATTCAACAATGTAACAGGTAAAGCCATTTGCGACCACAGAATGGACAGGTTCAGAGTAACAGACCACGGCAACTCCCCAAAGGCAGACACACCCAAACTGAGTCGAGGAACAGATATATTTGCATATTTGGTTGGTTTTTCCCCCAAGAACTCCCTACAGCACTTCTAATCTAACAATTCTCCCATATCATTCCTCAACCGTTCAACACACAATGACATTCATTTTTTCCTCTTCTTACTTAAGTAAAGATGATAAAAGCTTTTACTTCTAACCACTAATATGGGTAAATGTATGCACTTCTTGCACATTTTAATAAATTTCACTATCACAACTAACACTTGTGGAATAGGTTATCTTACATGTTGAACTCGGTAGCCTACACACAAGGAAAGAAAAAGAGCAACTGAAAGTGTGGTCCTAACACGGATACGAATGTTTGCACAGAAGGATGAGGAAGCACACCGTGCACAGCGCAAGGTAAAAATGTGGAACTTTTTTTTTTTTATATGACACAAAAGCAAACAAAGCCTTTTGCAGCAGCCTTTGCGTACACAGCAAATAGTCTACAGTAGAGAAGCAGTTAAGACTGCACTCTTTTCCTAACACACTTAATGTTCAAAATTCGAGGAAACAAGTCAAACAGGTGACTTTCAAGGAAATCTGAGGCAGCCCCCAGGAGGGCATCTACTCAGAATCTACTGTGCGGTGCACACAGCAGGAGAACAACTAGCCAAAAAAATGACCATTGAAAATTACGAGCTGTCAGGCAACTTCCTTAAACAGTATTTGCGAGAAGATTTAGAAAGCATCAGCCGAAGGCCATGGTACCCTTTCCTTTGCTAAGTCATTGTAGTGTTTACATACTCTTCAAGCACATCATCACTAGTCTGACAGGAAGAGGGAAAAGAGAAGGGTAAGAGGGAAAGGTGAAGCTGTGGGTAAAAGGGACAACTGTCTCTGAGGGAAAAAGTCAACATCAGGTATGTTCAGTGTGTGCATGCACTAGGATTACCTGCTGCTGGCATGTTTACTCTGGTTCACAAGTTCCTGGTTTTCAGTAAATGTTCTATTGTGAGTTTTGACTGGTTCCTGTGGGCTGCTGTTGTTCTAAATGGATATATGGCCCTGTGATGGTTTTCAGTAAACAATGGAGAGTGAAACCCCCTGAAGCTGGGAAAAGCACCTCCACTAGAGGTCCTGCACCATTTACCAGTTCACTTATGGACCACATGCTGCTACTGCTGCTGCCTTTTTGAGGTCAAATGTGCCGACAGCTAAGGTGGATGTAGAACATGGAGTGATAAAAACAACCTCATTATAGAACAGTTATTTATGGTCATGTTAAAAAAAAAAAACTAGCACACACCAGCTGTAACGGAAAGCAATGATGAAACACACTGAAACAAGTAATGTACTGAATTGATTCAAATGTGTACATTATTTCGACATGAATACAATACATCAACACAATCATTGCTTAAAGTAAATTAACTAAAAGACAAAACTGTATTGTGTGATGTATTCTGTAATATATATGTATACCATGTGGTACATTTTATTACTGTGTAAATAGTGTGCACATTTGAATTAAGTCAATTTACTTTTGTCAGTGCAGGTTCACATGATGATTAGGCCTTTTGGCAGTTAAAACCTTAGTAAAACTGTGAGTAACCACTGAAAATAATTCCTGGAAACAATTCCCCATAGTATTTAACCCTGAATTAGGATCTGATAACAGAAATGATTATTGGCTTTGTTCTCTCTGATAATCACTATGATTATGATGATGTGTATTGCTAATGTTAATGGAAATTCTCACAAATTCATTGGGCTGGTCCCAGGCACCTATTTCCCAGGCATTGACTGTTTTCTCTCATTTCTTGTGTGCAAACAAACAAACAAATAAAGGTTTAGTCTTTATCCAAAACATCAACATAAATGATTCCCCCTGCTCAGAATGGATGGATGAACAATGAGACGAGTGTGAAGACCTGCAGAGATCAGCAATCCCTAGAGAAAGAGAGGGAGAAAAAGAGAGAAACAGAAAGCAACAACCCCGAGAGGTGATATTGCTATGAGAGCTCACTCGTCTGCTTTTCCGAAAAAGACTTCAGGCAACCACACTGAACCATGGAGAGTAGGAACACACACAAACACACACAGGTGCAGAGGTTTGTTGGTGTGAGCTCATGTTCTTCTTTCATAATGATGTCCCTTTGACTTTTGGCAGCAAAAACATGTTTGAACAAGACATTCAGTTGCCTGAAGGAAACAAAACAAGATAACATCACGAAAAGTGTGCCGCCTTTTGATGTAGAAAGACTGATAGGGAGCTGGGCCAGGTAGCCATCTCTGAACCTTCATCCAATACAACGATGAAAGGCATTGGCTTCAAAACAACATGACGCAGAACTACAGCTTTCAAAACCAGTGTTTCTGAGCCATAGTCTCGGAGTAGCCCTACCCTGCACATTTTAGAGTACTTCCTGCTGCCAATACACCTGTTCACCTCATCTGCTATAAGAAGCCCATCCTGTAGTATATATGAAGCACAGCTGTAAAGGAAAGACAAAGACAAAATTCCTTGACTGCAGAAGAGAATACAAGTGACCCATGTACACACACTTAAGCACCACACATACACACATATATACACACAAAGATATTCTTAATATTTAAAGCAGGAAGGGAGGGAACAGATCAGACGTTAATTAAACCAGCACATCTAGGGTATCAAATCTTCAAGGTTATCAAAAACCTGTGACATTCGCTGCATCCCAATGCATATAAATGTATATGTAGATAAACTAACTTTCATTGAACAAATGCCATTAAACTTTTTTGCACATGGTAGTTTATTTACTGTTAATTTCACAAAAGAGACACAGGAAGGAAAAGTCCATAAAAAACAGGCGTTAATGAGGAAAAGTCTCACTTTTAAATAGGCCCATTTCATTTTCTTTAAATAACAGGCAATACTCGTTATTTCCCTTTTAACTGAACGAATAAAAAGTCCATCTACTTCCCTCAGCGCCAGCTACGCGGCCTACAACAAGCACGCTGTAGGTAAAGCGGCTCGCGCGTCATTATGCGCAAACACCACGTCTGTATTCCTATCTTTATGGGGTATCTCCATAGACTTCTGTATTACTGAAACTTATGAGGCCCTGCCTCACCTTACCACCTAAACCAAATCCTCCGAAATCGTTTTAAAATAAGCCTTAATTTTACCTCTCCTCCTGCCAAAACTAAAAAAAAACTCGTAGGGACCAGCCAAACAGGCGCGTTTTCCGTCATCCCCCGAGTCCCCACAAAGTTTTAAATACGTGACCACGCACACACAGAAGCGCGCGCCACCCCTCAAAATTTCTGGCAACGGCGCTGCCATTCAGCAGATGCAGCGCAGCTTATTAGCGTCATGTCTGTTATCTTTTGTGTCCGCGAGGACTTCGGCGAAGTCCTTTGGATATGAAAACGCTCCACCGAGTTCCAGACTGAAATGACCGCTGTATGCAAAACCGCGCTCCCGCTCTCATTTGCGTGCTTCCACAGAAACTCTTAAGCTATCGGGAAAATGATTGAGTGTCGACGACCCACGACTTCAAAGACACATTCAGAGCGAAAACGAGCCTCAGGCGTGTCCGTGCGTGTCGAGATACACGAGCTTCAATCCGACCAGGTTAATAATAAATTGTGAGAGCGTTACCTCACAGTTATCCGCTCACCGTCCGGCACCAACGGCTGAGCTCGCTCGGTTAGCTTCACATTACGCCCCACAAAAACTCGGACAATCAGCTCGCTCACACTTATTATAACCAGAATTAAAGGGGGAAATCGCTGTTTTTACGACGTCTGTTTATCCGCTCTGTTTTATGAATTATTGAGAGAGGCGCTCGAGCCTCTCCGTTACCGTCCTCAGCAGCGGCTCCGCGCGCAGATCCGGTTTCTCTCGGCGGCTTCCAGTAACAAGAAAAAAAGCAGCACTAGAGCTCACACACACTCTGACAAGTGGTGCGTTAAATAACAACACACTTATTTGTGTTAGCCGTTTCAACACTTTTTGTGTCATATTAGGCATATTAAGTCTCCAACTAAACACAGAATGTGTTGTTTTTAACACGTCTCGGCGACCCCTTCTCGCTTCGGGGTCAGCGATGAGACTTCCGAAGCAACAAGTTGTTACAAGTTTCCTCTGAGCTAAGTGAGCTAGCCCGGAGACCCCAGTCAGCGCCCACGCGCGCACAAACTCACGAACGTACACACACGCAACAGTTCAACGGCTGAGGAGAGGAAAACAACCTGCCGCTCTGAGCTAAACGAAGACCACCACAGTGTCCCGAGGAGCAGTTTCACAGAGCTCATCACCGCCTCGCACTGCAGGAGGGTGAAAGTCTGTCTAAGATGGGCAAATAAACGGCTAACGCGGACCGACCTGCGCTAACGCGCTGCTAATCACGCACAAGAAGATCGAGCGGGCTAATCTAACGTCTATGAACCCGCAGAACCGGGTCGGAGCGGCTGAGGTTCTCCTGCAGGAACTTAAACGAGCCCGGTTTGGAGAAATGTGTTGGCTCAGCGCTGTGCTGAGGGTAAAGGGGGATCGCAAGTGCAGTCCCACCATCCTCTCTCACTCCTGAAGTTTTCAACAGCCACAGCGGCAGAATCTCTCACTCCCTCACTCACTCTCTCACTCTCTCACCCCTCACTGAACTCACTGAATGAACTCACCTGGTCGGAAGACAAACTGCAACAGGACACTCAGCAGTACCCAGCGGTATTCCATAGTCATAATTCCATCTATTTCGCCTGTGTGGGGGTCTGCAGGCGCGCGCGCGCGTATGTGTGTATGTGTGTGTATGTGTAAGACAGTCCACTCGGTAACCTCGCGCTCGCTAATGCAGCTGAAGAGTAAGCAGTGGCGCGAGGCTGCTTCTCCTGATGCAGACGTGCTGGTCTTAAAGGGCCAGCGCTGTTTTTACCCGAATCAGTCATGTGTTAGTGGGCGCAGAGGCAGAGCGTCGATTAAATGGGCGGGGCTTTGGCACTTGTTTTCTTTTCTTTTCTTTTTTTGTAAATTTTATTTATTTATTTATTTAGTTAGTTATTTATTTACTTCGTACTGTACATATTTGACTCCTGACACGCATCACAATTACAAGGTGTCAACAGCGCGACTCGATGAAAGTCGGTTGAGTTGATGATTAAATCCCTATTAAGTCCCTATAATGTGGACTGATAGGACTATGATCCTAGCATAAAAAGCTTTTACTAGAGCCAAATGAAAGTAAGCCTATGGTTTTATAACTGAAAGCGGCTGCAGGATTGTTTTGGCCTTGATAATAAAACCTAGTAATGAGGTTTTAGAAATGCAGTTAAAGTGACTACAGGGTAATAAATCAGAGGTGTCTGCTAAACTACTTTGGTTTTTATTCCAAGCAGGCAGGAGCACACCCGATTCAGCTTGTTCAATTGGTCTCTGTCTGTACTCTCTGAAGACTTTAAACATCTATACTTTTTTGATTTGACATGTATTTAAACCTTTTATATTTGATTTTTTATTCATTTTTTTTAAATTTGCGTATAAAAATGTACAAACCTGTACTGTTCTCCTGAAAAAGTGAATGTTGGGCACCTTTAAAATCCATTTAAAGTACAGAATTGGACCTTGGGGGACAGAAATGTACCTATAAGTGTGCTCCTGCTTTATTGGAATGAAAATCTGCACACTGACCCTTGGCAGATAAGAACAGTACATAACATACCGTATATGTTGTATTTATAGTGATATGTGTATATATACATGAATATATGTCTTCATATATTCATAGATATATTTGAAATTGTGTATATATTGTTCATATAGTTATATATTTCATAGATACATCATATTTATGCTTTTAATTGCACATTTGCACTCTTCGTTTTGCACTATTGCTACTGTTTGCACTTCTGGTAGATGCTAACTGCATTTCATTGCCTTGTACTTGTACTGAGCAATGACAATAAAGTTGAATCCATCTATGTATCTATCTATATTAGACACCCCTATTCTCATTTAAGGCTGAGAAACTGCTTTTAGGACACACAGAAGGATGGCATGGCATTGGAATTTCTAATGCGTAACAAATTCCATCTTTTGTTTATTTTACATAAACATAATCTACAGCAAGCAACAACATCTAACCTTATTCAACATTCATCTTTCTTGGATGTTAGTGTTGGAAAAAGAACTGCCAAAACAAAATATAACAGACCTCTGAGGTTGTCATTCTGTAGTCAGTGTTAGGAACTCTGGGTCTAAGCAGATTTGTCTATAAGGAAAATAAATGGCGTTTTCAAAAATCACTGCTGTCCACATCCTGTTGTAAACAAAAACATTCCAAGGATGAGAGATACAAACGTATGTACACTTTTCCTCTTTATGTTACTCGATCTTCTGAAATGTGAGGTCGGTACAAATATGGCTATATGCAGCTAACATTGCTGCATATTGAACGGACATCATAAGACATCATAAGGCAACCTCACCAAAACCCCCACACTGATCATCAAGCTTTGTCAAATGTGATAATTAGGTTGGTAGCCTATAGTTTGAGTAGCTGGTATTGATATATAATAGTGTTCAAGTGCATCACACATCATTTCAGTGCACAGGAGTACTACCTTATGTGTAGCATGCATGTAGCATTATTCATATTTCGACTACTAAACAACCCTATAATGTATAGGGATTGGGACATTTTTATCACATGGCACTGACTACAGAAAGATGAACCTGATGAATTTCAGAGGTCTGTTGCCCCACAGACACTGAGATTTCCACAAAATCTTAAACTGACTGCTAAAAAAATATGCTGAACATTGCACTGAATATTATAATATATAATAATAATATTATAAAAATATTATAAGTGGGTACTACTGTTGATTTTCTCAGTGAAACTGAAAATAAGTTAATACATCCTTTACAGAGAACACACTTCTGTACGTTTTAATGCAGGCATTTTAATCCCAGTTTATTTGCTGAATTTAACACATTTTAAATAAATAAATAAATAAATAAAATGGGGTCTGTTTAAACATTGTGGCACATTTTACATTTTATTTAATTTTTTCCAATGTATTAAAGTCAGCAAATAAATAGAGTCTGTGTACTAAAAGGTGCAGAAAAAATGCCATATTGTTCCCTATTTCCCAGTTTGTTCCCTATAATGGATGTTAACCTATTTTCACATAGAAAATCAACTAAACGTATCATTTAACTCTGGGTGTTTGAACTTTTGAATACCACTGTATACATAATCAATATGCAAACAAGAGACATCTCATAAACCTCAACTGGGGTACATTTCCTGTAACACATTTGCTTATTGAGTTCAATAGTGATGTCATAAAAATCACAAATCATTTTTCCAAGCTATGTTTATTAACAGTAAGCTATAACACTAAGTTTTTAACAACTTGGTACAGTACAAAGTTCAACAGTTATTTGTGTGTATGTGTATATGTGCGTGTATGTGTTCATTTTATAATTCAGGATTTCGTTAGTGTTTATTTCCAGCAGTATAGATGAATGGTATTCAAGTGTTACACATCAGCTTCAGGCCTCTGTATTGAAGGCTTTTTCAGGACAACAAGGCCTTAGTCAGTTACATGGTCAGATGCTAGAAGGCCCCTGGTTCATTTTACTTCCGATCATGCTTGTCCTAGGCTCCCCCTGAGCTCTGCACTGTCTCATCCTGATTTCCATGACAGCTTGGCCTGATCATTAATCATTTCTGTGTTAAATATAGGACACAAATACAGACATTATCTAGCTAAAAGAAACTCTGCAGTGAAACTCTAAAAGAAACTCTGCAGTGCCAAGGTAAAATCTTATTCACAGTAGAACATAGAACACATATCAGATGTTGAAAGTGAGACATTTTACCATTGTGTAGCATCCCCTTGTCTTTTAACAATGGTCTGTAAACATCTGGGAAGTGAGGAGACCAATTTCTGGAGTTTTGGGAGAGGAATGCTGTCCTATTCTTGTCTGATGTAGGATTCTAGCTATTCAACAGTCCTGGGTTTTCTTTGCTGGATTTTTTTGTTTCATGATGCGGCAAATGTTTTTTATTGGTGAAAGGTCTGGACTGCAGGAAGGCCAGTTCAACACCCGGACTCTTCTTCTGCGAAGCCATGCTATTGTGATGGATGCAGTATGTGGTTTAGCATTATCTTGCTGAAATATGCAAGGCCTTCCCTGAAAGAGACATTGTCTGGATGGGAGCGTATGCTGTTCTAAAACCTCTATATACTGTTCAGCATTGATAGTGCCTTTCCAGATGTGTAAGCTACCCATGCCATAGGTGTTAATGCGAGCCCATGCCATCAGAGATGCAAGCTTTTGAACTGTGAACTGATTACAAGCTGGATGGTCCCTCTCCTCTTGAATCCGCAGGACACGGTGTCCGTGGTTTTCTAAAATAATTTCAAATTTTGATTCACCTGACCACAGAACTGTTTTCCATTTCACCTCAGTCCATTTTAAATAAGCTTTTGGCCCAGTGGCATTTCTGGATCATGTTGACATATGGCTTCTTTTTGCATGACACAGCTTTATCTTGCATTAGTGGATTGCACGGTGAACTGTGTTCAAAGACAGTGATTTCAGGAATTGTTACTGAGCCCATGTAGCGAATTCCAGGACAGAATCATGCCTGTTTTTAAAGCAGTGACGCCTGAGGGCCCGAAGATCACAAGCATCCAATATTGACCGTTGGCCTTGTCCCTTGTGTACAGGGATTTCTCTAGATTCTCTGGATCTTTTGATGAGATTATGTACTGTAAACGGTGGGATATCCAAAGTCTTCGCAATTTTAAGTTGAGGAACATTTTTCTGAGATTGTTCCATAATTTCAGTTTTTTGCAGATTGGTAACCTCTGCCCATCTTTGCTTCTGAGAGACTCTGCCTCTCTAAAATGCTCTTTTTATACCTAGTCATGTAAGTTAGTTGCAAATTACTTCTCCAGCTGTTTATTATTAGTACCGCTTACTTTTCCAGCCTTTTGTTCCCCCTGTCCCAACTTTTTTGAGATGCGTTGCTGCCATCAAGTTCTAAATGAGTTGATGTTTTTCATGAAATGGTAAAATGTCTCACTTTCAACATCTAGTATCTGTTCTATGTTCTATTGTGAACAAAATATGGGTCTATGGAATTTGCAAATCATTGCATGTTTTTATTTACATTCATTTACATTTTACACAGCGTCCCAACTTTTTTGGAATTGGTGTTTTATAATTTCAGTGGATTATGGTACAATTATGTTTCCTGACTAAAGGTACTGAGGGTACTAAAGGTATCCTTGAGGGTACAACCCCAGCGACCTTTTTCTGAGAGTGAAGGATAAAACATGAATCTTTCAAAAGATATTCCCTCAGTTAGTATTTTGATGATGGTGCTAAAGAACATTAGAGTAAAATCTTCCATAGGTGTCTAATTGGATTGAGATCTGGACACTATGAATGCCACAGCGTACGATTTACATTATTTCAAAATCATCTAACCATTCAGTGACCCCTTGTGCTCTGTTGATGAGGGCACTGTCATCCTAGAAGAGACCCCTCCTATCAGAATAGAAATGTTTCAGATAAAAAGGTGATCAGTCAGAATAATGTTCTATTGATTTGCAGTGACCCGAACTATGTCAGCTCTTCTGTGTTCTCTAATATATCACACTAATGAACGAGCAGCACCATTAAATTTTACTTTTTTTCATATTTTAGAATAGCAGTGAAGGCATTGACACTGTGAAACATCCCATGAGGAACTAGATGTTGTAGTTTAGATTCTTCACCTTGCATCAATGCAGTTTTGCATATTCTTGGTTTTCTCTCAAGCAGCTTCATGAAGAGCCGCCTGGGAAGTTTTTCCAACAAATATCAAGCACTTAAGCA